TGTCGTAGGAAATTTCGTGAGATCGGGTCATCATGGCGTACGTGCACTTGGCCCGCGCAAACTACGAAAATGTGCAGAACGGAAAGTTCGTGCAAAAATTCGTACACACTTTCGCAAGGACTGTCGCGAAACTTCGTTCGAATTTTCGTTTTGCAGAACCTCTCTACTGAACCTTTCTTTAGCAACATCACGGCAACTGAAACAGCAACAGAGAAAGTACGATACATGTACTGCACATTCTTGCAGGTACTACAAACAGATTACAGATCGTAATTCTTGCTTTGGCGGCACGAAACTTTATTTGGGGCAGTGCAATCTCGGCGGTACTCACAAATCAAACAGCCCAGACTCGAGTAAACAAATCCAATCATACAAGTACGAGATTTTCACGAGACGAGACTGCACCCATTGGCTTGTTTCGTATGAAGCAAACAAGTTACTGAACCTCTCCACAATGGAGATTTTCCCTGATATGCGAATTTATTTGGCAAACTCGGTCAATGAGTCCTTGAACCTTTCCCTCCAGATTGGGAACTGCAAACGATAGTATGCCACTGACCAGTGCCTTACTTGTAACGTACCAATGTACAATGAATATGAGTCTTTCGACAAAACATCTAACATAAGCCTTACCGTCAAGAAGGTGAACTCGCGTTCTTCGCACACTGTAGGCAAGGGCAAAGAGATAAAAATGGATCTAAAGCCGAATAAAATCAGCACACGTTTCCGTAAATGAAAGGGTGAGCATAAGCAAATGAATCGAAGGAAACTGGTCAAATCAGAGATCACCTGTCATTGAGTATTCCGTAAAAGGAGGCCTCGGCAGCGGAAAAGCTAAATTTAGAAAGGAGATCCTGTCAGCTTTTCCATTATTTATTGCATTCCGCCCAAAATCAGCACACTTTTCGTAAATGAAAGAGTCAACACAAGCAAATGAATCAAAGGGAACTGGTCAACTCACCTGTCATTGAGTAATATTCCGCGAAAGGAGATCTCAGCAGCGCCGAAACGAAATAAGCCAGGCCAGGAGACGAAATATCCGAAACAGCTCATGTAAGAAGCAGTTCCAAAGAAGGAAGTTCCTCGTGCATCCACATCCGAAAAGGCAACAACAAAAAGTCCGCAATGCACATGCATGCGGCCAGCCGGCCGCGCGATGGAGCCATGGAGTAGCTCCCTGGTCCAGGACCAGGTACCGAGCATCTTACGTAGAAACTTACGTAGCTACGTAGACAACGTGTCTGAATAGCGGTGTCGTTAGGTAGCGCCATGTGAACACAATAATAGAAAAGCTGACAGGATCGCTTTTCTAAATGTAGTTTTTTGAATTAGTTATTTGAAAATGGTGAGCATCTTCATCTTCTTCCCGGTGCGCATGTACACATATTTTTTGAATCTGTACGTGCTCCAAGCCAACTCACCTCTGCTCAAATCGACGGCGATTTATTTCGCGATTTTAGGTCGATCGCCACGGAAAACCACACCAAACGTTGACAACACTCCACGTTTTTCACTGAAGACGCATTGGATGTCATGATAAAACGGATGGAAAACCTCGTAATGGCTGATGAAGAAGAAGAAATTTGTCGAACTTCCAAGGCGCACTGCAAAAGGAGTGCAAGAGTTTCGCCGGGGAAAGTAGGCAGGTCGGATTCAGTGATGCTTTTGCTGTCGATTGATGTCAGTTCCAGGTGTTCGATTTGTAAGTGCAACAGGGGACTCACTTTGGCACCACTGGCTGATGGACTAATAGGGCTGTGTTTACATGAAGCGTTTCAACCCGGGTCAGATTTCAACCCGCCATGTCCCATGTGCCATGTGCCATGTGCAGCTCGCCCAGGATCGTCGAAAGTGGAAGGAACTAATGTGTGCTGTGTGTAATGGCTGAAGTTATACAATTACACTAGATTCCCTTAACAATAATAACGGATACAATTACACTAGATACTGTAACACACTAGATACTCTAGATACTAGATACTCAAGATACTCTAACAATTTTATCAACAATTATGATAATTACCACATCAAATGCTGCAGAGACCTACCTATCCAGAATCGGCAATATGCTGGCCCTGGCCTGGAGATCTGCAACTACAATCAGCTTCTACTTTGCAACATTAACGGATTAGTCCCCTTTGTCGATTGATGGATCAATCGGTAGATTCGACTCTGTTTTTCTTTCCTTTCTTTCTTGTTTTGAATTTTATGTTGAACTCATTGGATTTCTCAAGTTGTATTCTGTATCTCGTTATCGTTATACAGGTCTACTCTCCATATAACGTAATCTCTGGGACCACGCAAACATTATGTTATATCGAGAGTTATGTTATGTAGAAAACCGTGTGTAAAATACAAGATGTACCTCAAAATGAAGGGTATTACAAGGCGGGTTCAACCGTGCAAACATATACACACTGTACCACCATCGACATCAGATACCATCAATGCCGCAGAATATATGCACAATAGGACTAAACTGGCTAGCTACGGCTACAGCTTGATTGTACCGCGCACGTGAATCTACGTTGTATCGAGAGTGCACACGTCGGGGACCGCGCCGTAGGGTGCGTTATGCCGAGGTTTACGTTATGTAGGACTAAACTGGCCTAAACTGCCTAGCTACAGCTACCGCTTGATCGTACCGTGCACGTGAATTTATGTTGTATCGAGAGTGCGCACGTCGGGGACCCCCGTAGCGTGTGTTATGTCGAGGTTTATGTTATGTAGGATTATGTTGTGTAGAACAAAATTTGTATGGAAGTGATGCTGTTCCGGCGCGGGATTTGATTTTTTTATGTACTAGCGAGGTTTATGTACAAGTGAGAGTTGTTATATCGAGAGCAGACCTGTATTTCCCTCTAGCCCTCTCGCTTAGGGTGCGTTCTTATATTCTCTAGCTTCTAGAAGAAGAAGAAAAGAGAAGTCGAAGAAACTGGGATTACTCAAGAACGGGTCTCGAAGAATTCGGAGATATTTTGCACATGTCAAGCAAAATGAAGCGTCAAAGGGGCGCGGTCTTGAGTGATGAATGTATGTGCGTATGCGAAAAGGGAAATGCGTACACTCATGATGAACACGTGGCTTTTAGTCGTAGTTCGCATGCGCTGATCCCAAACCGCGGGAATCTCCAAGTTTCAACCACCTCTGAAGCTTGGATCATGGAGAGCTTTGGAGAGCCTCCTAAAAGTCGGAGAGGATATAAGAACAGCTCTCGAACTTTTCGGAGAGTCTCCAACTTTTCCGAGAGGATTTAAGAACGCACCCTAAGGATGAGCTTTCTTTTTTATGGCAGCTTAAGCGAAGGCTATATACCTGCTTTATGCAGGTTGATGCCAACGCGAACAAGCAAAATAATAATAATAATAATAATAATAATAATAATGTGCACAAAGTGAATGGCGCGTTTACATGACGCATTGCGCTTGAACCGGGTTGAAATTTTCTAGTATTTGACCCGGGTCAACTGTCTTCATGTAAACGCTCACCTCTTTTGTCTATCGTACAGACTTTCAACCCGGGCTGAACTCGACCCGGGTTGAAATTTCTCATGTACACACAGCCTAGCTCTTGTGTACTAGTTGCATACGTCAGCTGTGCAAGGGATGTACGGTTGTACGATTTCTCGATTTCAACCCGGGTCAAGCGCAATGCGGCATGTGAACGCGTGTTCATGACGGGTTGCAACTTGACCCTGGTCGAACTCGACCCGGGTTGAAACCTCTCATGTAAACCAGGGAGTACGAACTACTCCCTGATGTAAACAGACGCTTTTCGTAGAGCTAGAGCTATGCGCAGAGCTTCTTTTGGACACAAACCACTGCAAACAGCTGGGCCATGGGAAGGACAGAACGAACCTCGGTACAGGGCCGGGGTCTGGACACGTCTGCGTTTTCATATCAGGGGTACGATTTTCTCGCCACGTTCCATATTGTCATGGCTGTCCGGACGAAAACAACCAGGGAGTCGTCAAAATATCAAGTATCAAGTATTTGACGACTCCCTGGCTTCCACGATCCGATCAGAAAGCCTGTGGAAAAATGCAAGACAAAGAATTGCTGCAAAAGACATGCGATTGCATTTTTGTAATTTTTGCCGATGTCTGAAGATGTAATTATTATGATTATTTAAAAAAATATTGATAGGTAATGAACAGGGAGTCGTCAAATACCGGTATTTGACGACTCCCTGGTAATGAACGATCTCTCCTGGAACGACAGCTACACAATGGCTCAGTGCACGGAGTCGTCAAATACCGCGGACGTATTTGACGAGTCAATGACGACTCCCTGGCGCAGTGGTTAGAGTATCGCTGGCCTGAAGCAAAGGCACGCTACCTTGTCATTGGGAAGAAATTCCTGTTTGGATTTTGCGAAGTAAAACTTTAAAAAAAAAAAGGTCCCTGGTTTGAGTCCTGGTGATGAGAGTCAACATTTTGTTCAGACTTTACGACTAGACGAATTCTTGGAAAGATGTAAAAAGTGTGCATGAATGATTCACGCCGAGGACAAAAAAATAAAAATAAATAGAAGATCATACATGTAGATAAGTAGCACCTTTAATATTAATACGTGCATGCACTGCCACGCAGCTTGCTACGTGGTCCAATCATGCGTACTCTTGGTCAAAGCTCAACAAGTTACAACCACAAAATCAAGCGGTAAATCACAGGTCATGATTTACCACATGATTTGGTACCGCATTACGTCTGGAGCAGTTGCAACCTTGCGCAGGCAACTGACACTCCCGTACTCTTGGTCAAAGCTCAACAAGTAACAACCACAAAATCAAGCGGTAAATCACAGGTTAGGGTTCCCTGTAACAAGACGGCAACGTCTGTAGGGCCTTCCCTATCAAAATAATAAATTCTACTACTACTACTACTACTAGGTCATGATTTACCGCATGATTTGGTACCGCATTACGTCTGGAGCAGTTGCAACCTTGCGCAGGCAACTACAGACCAGGGTTCCGTTGCAGCTGTGAGAGTCAACCTTTCGCGCCCTGCACTGAATCACCGAGTGTTCATAAACCAGCATTCACTTTCAGTTTCCATTAGACTTTCACTTCCTCTAGCAGCGCTGAAACGGAGCATTTCCGAGCCTCTCCCTTTTCCAGACCCGATCTTCCTGTACTAGACTACTGCGGCTAACGATGGCGTTTGCAACTAAAACGGTAAGTAATGTTTTTAATTGTTTAATCCAAACTCTCTATTATTATTATTATTATTATTATGAAATGACCCAAAGGCAATGTGCCTATCGAGGGGTTCATTTGATTGAAAGAACAGTAGATGTAGATGTATGTACAAAGAGAAGTAGGGATTGATGAGGAGAGAAATGGGGAAAATCAACTGCAAGGTGGCGGAATTCCGTTGATTGCATAAGCATAGTCAGCTGTAAATTTCCTGAGGGCAGCTTTGAACTTATAGAGCGAGGCTTCCCCAAATCTGTAAAAGAAGTGATGAGCAATAGGTGAGCAAGGAAAGAGATAAAGACAAAGTCTAGAATAGAGCTCTGCGCTTCAATATATTGATTGTAAGCATGCAGAACTGGGATAAATGACACCTGTGCCAGAGTAACGGTTGCTGTTTGCTTTACAAAATGCACCGTTCAATGTTGCGCTGTATTTAGATAACGGAATGGTTGTGTTCAAGTCAAGATGCAGGGAATGCTCAATCTGTGGGTAGTTTTTAAAGATTGTGAGGCAATGTCTGTAACACCAAGCAAGCATCATGTGACATGTCCAAATTTCCGATTGCCAATAACGTTAGGTCTTGTTGATGTTTGTACTTGCATGGAGAGCCAAGGATACGTTTAAAGAAACGGAAGAGGATCAAGTAACTACTTGAACTAGTTACAGTAAAAATGTCCAATGCCTATTCTATAATGACAGTGTCGCGCAATGTTGTCACATGAGCTGTCACAATGAGCTGTCACAACAAGGAAACCTGGCCATGCGCTCTTGCTTCATGATGGTCACATTCATTTTGTACTCTATTGCAGATGGCTACCCTCATCTTGGTGGTACTTGCATCCATTTGCGGCCTCACAGCACCTGTAGAAGGTAAGAAGATGAACAGTCTGTTGAATCAACTTAGGAACTAGGGATTAACGTGACTCGCAAGTCAAAGAAATGGACGCTAGTATTCCTAGCGTTCTATTGACTCGAACTACCTTATAAAGGACTGTAGGCTTTCTAGATGCTGGTACGCAACTGAATTCGATGTAGTAGTACAAGTAGTATTTATTATTTGACTAGGGGAGTCCCAACAGGCATGGCCTTGTTACAGGGAACCCTAGGTGAATCTTTGTGAGGTGAGCAACAGTACCAGCAGATTGTGCCTGACGACAGTTTGGAGGAAGAGTGTTCCACCGACCTGCAGCCAGAAAAGAAACTGAGCGCAGTCCATACCCAATATGTACAGTAGATAATACTAAGGCAGCTGTATCCTGGCCACGAGTACGAGCATTTGTGTGCGGGCCAACTGAACGCAGGAGAAACAGTGACTGAAGGAGGGGGCTAGCAATTGATGACAAGCAGCGATAGACCAAAACGTATAGTTTCAAATGAACTCTTTGCTCAAACGAATACAGATGACACCGTTGTAAAACTAATGCAGTTGGGGTCATTCTATCTAAACCAAATGCCTTCTTCATCGCAATGTGGCTGACCGTTGCAAGCCTGTTATATAGGGTAGTTTTCAAACAGTGCACATACGCATTACTTGTGATGTTTTCTTCTACATTTTCTAAAATGACTTTGACATGTGCAGGTGCTCCAGCAATAGGCTACTAGTTTAATTAAATTTTATGAAAGTGATGTGTAATCTGAGCGAAACTAAAGAGTTGTTTAACGGTACAAATTTACTACAAAAACAAGTGCTGCCTTCCACTGTTCGTACTTGTGCAGATTACCGCTCATCATTCGCTCATGCATAACCTTCCTAGGGGCTCCCGTAAGAAGACCATAGGTCTGTGGGAAACACCCTAGTAAAATAAAATTTAATAATAATAATAATAATAATAAGAGTTCGTAACCACTCGTGGTACCCTGTAAGAAGACCTTGGGGTCTGTTGGGAATGCGCAAGTCAAAATCATAAAAATACAAAACAATACACTACAGGTACAAGTCTACAATACAAAATACTCGTGCTCTCTCTCAGTAGAAACACCTTGCCCATTGGGGAAACTACAGGGGAAACCCCAGGCCTACTTGTAGAGCCACAGAATGGTATGTGCCGAAGTAGTTTTCGGCGATAACTTCAATAATAATAATTATGGAAATCGTGTGCCGCTCTCTACGTGGCAGCTCGCGCTTTTCAATACGCGGACGATGCGGATACCGAAGAGATAGTATCTTCATAATGTTGAAGGACATGAAACGTTCCAGTATCACTTCCAGATGTTCACACATGAGGGAAATACCGGGAATACGGAGTAAAAACATACATAGCTAAGGGGTGTTTCTATCATGTTCGGGATTATTGTCTTTGTGCTGCACGTGTTCACAAAGGACGAAACATTACTCTCCACAGATCGAGTACAATACGTTATGTCGAGGGACGAGGGTAGTGTATTCTAGCCGACAAAGGAGCAGGCGCGTTGTCATGAAATATTTACTTCAAGTTCTTCCTACTTTCTATGTTTCTCTTCTAAAGTTTTCCTCCAAATTCCACATTTTGTCACGTCTGCTGCAGGTGCTGCTGTACCAAAATGGGACGCCGGTGAATTAAACGCCCCAATTTTGTTCCGACATACATTGGGCAGTCACCACGCTGGTTTCCTTATCTTCGGCCCTTCATTGAACAAGCCCATCACTAAAATCACAGTACACTGCACAACTACTGGAGCAGCGCCGCATGTCACTGTCTCTGGCCACGCCAACAGCATCATCCAGGTCCACAGGCCAATCGCGCAGGTGAGCGTTACAGGTCTACAGCCGAGGACGGAGTACGTGTGCTACTACACCGCATCCAACATGTTCGGGACTAGCATGCACAGCGATGTAGGAGCGCCTTTCACCACCTACTCGTCTCGCTGGTAATCTGGTAAGTCAAAACATTGCAGTTTCAACAATAATTTACGTAGTGGTGGCAACTTGCCAAGTGAGGCTTGTCCACAGCTCTGGCGATGCAACCCTAGACCGTAGTAGACGAAGAGGATAGACTACAAAAATTGTAGTGCTACATGTAGTCGAATAAAGCGGAGCACTGCAAAGTACTAGCACGGCATACTAGTACTCTGTAGATTGGATTTGGTCACTGCTGTATTCACGGGGCGAGTTTCAATGATTATTACACGGGACAAGACATGGACTATTGGACTAGTAAAATTCTTTATCCATACGTACATGTATGCGATCTGTGCAGGTTATTGGTCTTTTCCCAACGAGCAGTTGACGGAGACTGCCTAGATTCAGGCTAAGTTCTGGAGAATCGATAACATAATAGAATCGATTAAATAATATAGAACAATACAATTACATAGCGGCGTACAATTTTCAAGCTGCTTCTTACCTATCCAGGCTACAACATTTTTAAATCGTCTATTCTCTACATACATGATTGGACTAGCAAGAGTGCATAATACCCAGGGGGTTAAGTACTCTTGCTACTGGTGTTTGGTGAGTCGTGCAGCTCTTCAAACAGTAACTGAGTGTTTTGCAAAGTCAATAAAGCATTTCCATATCATTTATTGATAAACAGGCCGAAAACTGCTGCTTCCCTATTTGCCTTTGCAAAGTCACTCACACTATTTTACAAATTTGGCGTAGATCTCCGACAATGCTGGACTGCTGCTCAGGGTGTACCAGTACAGTACTATGGAATTTACCCTTCGCAGAAGAGCTGCAACGTATGCATTTCCTCGTAGCTGTTGTAATCGCGAGTTACTACTGAGAATGGGTTTGTTCGCAACGCCAACCTGACGTAAAAAAATTGTTTTCCTTTTCCTTATATTTGTGTGCCAAAACACTGTATTTACATACTTCAGACACAAACATGTTTCCACTTTGATCTTCTCCCTTCCATGCATACACTGTACAAGCAATCAGACATGGCATTGCTAATACGACTGCTGTAAAGGGTACTGATAGAAGCGAATCTTTTTCATGATGCATGTAGATGCATGTAGTCAGGGTCAGGTTCTTCTAGTTAGGTTGTAATCCTAACGTTTTTTGAATTTCAAGATGTTGTTTAAGAAAAAGCGAAGTACAGTTCGGCATAGCTCTTTGTACATTTCCCACTTATTGCTCCTGACTGCAAACAGATTAGTGCACAGTGCACGCAAGAGGTTAACTCACTCTTGCTGATCTCGATGATTCGTCACGTTCATGCTTTCCCTTCCAGGATGCTGGCAATGGAGATCGTCGCTGGGGAGGCACTGTCATCTTCTAGCTTCGGGTCTTCAGTGAAATAGCTCAAGTACCAGCCAGCCAATGCCAATTGCCTGCTGTTTACCACAAGACTTGTCTGGTGGTAATTATAAGACCTCCGGCTAATATTATATTTTGATTATATCCTAACCCTTTCTTCCTGTTTGGTATCTATTTGATAACCTTTAGATATTGCAACCACAATGTCTGATAACCTTTAGATATTCCAACCATAATATCTTTAAAAGATGGCAAAAAGATTTAGAGACCGCCAAACTGTCTGTATCACTCGCTGTGTATGTTGTGAATGGTCATCTGCATGCAACGGCATGCAGATGTCGCGATCGTATTGGGGATGCAGTCACAAACGGGACGTGCACAAGGGATATTCAGATTATGGACGGGTTTATTACGTGCATGAGTATGTCGCGAGAACAGCCCCCGAATCCTTTTCTGTATAATTATTGTAGTGTGCGGTAACATGGTTTGAAGTATGGATGTACAATGTGGTTATACGTTGATAGGGTCACCAGCAGCCCCCCCCCCCCCCAAAAAAAACAAACAAACAAACAAACAAGACCCACTCTATTTATCATGAGACGCACTTGCGCACATCCCACAGGGAAGACTATAATGGCAAATTGATTTGAGAAATGTAACCAGGTGCATGTCGCAGATGTTTTTGTGGATTCTCTGTTTAGAATTGTAGTCATGAGTTGTGTTGATAAGGTCGTCCTGCATCATATTGCACTGAAATCGTCATCCTGTTGATGTTGACACAACATTTGGAAGTAGTTCAATGACTTCAAAGTCATATTACCCGATTGTCTAAGGGCGCGTTTGGTTGGTACGAACTAGAACAGGATTCACCAGAACAGCGCGTTTGGTTGGGACTGCACCTGTTCTGGGTCGGCCAGAACATGTTCTGCTTGCTCCGGCCTCCAGGCCGGAGCAGACCGAGCAGTTTCACTTTTTCACAGTGAAACCTGGCGGGAACATCGATTTTGGTCCCATAATTATGATCACGTGCATACGCTTGGGTTGGACTCGTCGTACCGTACACAGTGACCATGGTGAGCATGAAACTGATATCACAGTGGCGATAAGTCCATACAACTGCACAAGAACCTATTGCAAATGAAGCATAGCGGCACCAGTATTGTATTTTGGAAACAAGGCCTGGATGGGGTACTGCTCTCCCGCCAAAGCCTCTGTGCCTTGAACCTGTTGCGTGCTTCTTGGCACTCTGTGTTTGTCCGTTCTGCAGAGTGCTCGTACTGAACCCAACACTGCTCAGCAGCTCCAAGAGCAGCTTCTGGAAGAGTTTGCCGACGTTTTCCACAGGTCACAGCTTCCACCTATGGACAGTCCGCCAATGGACATCCAGTTGGAACCAGGTGCCGAACCCAGCTGGGTCCGCACTGCCCGCACCATACCGTTTGCCTACTGGGTACTGGGTCCGCACTGCCCGCACCATACCGTTTGCCTACTGGGTACTGGGTCCGCACTGCCCGCACCATACCGTTTGCCTACTGGGTACTGGGTCCGCACTGCCCGCACCATACCGTTTGCCTACTGGGTACTGGGTCCGCACTGCCCGCACCATACCGTTTGCCTACTGAGTACTGGGTCCGCACTGCCCGCACCATACCGTTTGCCTACTGGGTACTGGGTCCGCACTGCCCGCACCATACCGTTTGCCTACTGGGTACTGGGTCCGCACCAGGGAGCCCTACACATACCGGGAGGTGACACGGAACCATAACTCCTGTTTGATGGTTGCCTCACGGGTGAACCCTGTGGTTTTTCAAAAAACCATCGAACTTTTTTGAAACCGCAAACAAGGCTAAAACAAGGATGGTTTCATGAATTTTTAGTGCAGTATTCATTTGAAATTTTGAATCGATCGATTGGATTGAATTATTGTAAAGTGCTATAATATTATATCTTTGATACATCTTTGATCTGTCCTGGGAGATGAAATGTCGAATCTTCCTAGCCCCCTTGTTGTGGCCGAAGACATTCTTGTGTGCAAGGAAGACTTTTGTTTGGACAAAGAGCGCTTTGTGAAGTGGATTCGAGGTTGGTGATGATAGTTTTTCATTTGTTGAATGAGTTTGTGTTGATAATGGATGATATCGACGCAGCGCCATTCAATGTTGCGGAATTTTGGATGCAGGTCTTGCTGAGGACGAAGTTCTAGTCGCCCACCAGCCACAGGAGTCGACCACCGCGCGTGCAATTTGCACATTGCTTGAGAAATGCATGCAGGGCGGGGATCATACGTACTGGGGAACTCAGTCATTCCTGATTGAGTTCTCCAGTGACTTGAACAACTGCTTTGGAAGGTCCCAAACAGAAATACGTCAGCACTTGAGAGCCATGTACAAGCAGCCATCGTTTACTAGATTTTGCAAATTGGTTCTTTGCAGCAGAGAGGATGCGAATTTTCCAGATGATAAAAAAGGTAAGAATTACACACGAACAATATCTTGCTACTCGTATAATGAAAGTAATTAGTCATCATTATACATCCTACAATCATGTACATTATAATAATATTATCATTGATGGTGCTCTCGGCTGGAGCTCATCAGTAGCCCTCATTTTCTAGAGAGAGGAAATAAATTCGCTAGACAATGAAAAAACAAGTATTATTATAGCATACCGCGTACCGGTGTCTTGGATCGAAACATTGTAGTTGCCGACATATTTCAAGCACGTGAGTGGAAAGGAAATAAGCAAATTACAACTGAAACGTGTCGTGAAATAGATTGCAGCAGGAAGCATAAGTTAGATATTGCCGTACAGCAAACACAAATGCATAAAATTGAAACTGCATTAACTTCATTTAATACTAGAGCTAGATTGGTTGACTGCAGGGAGCCCTACACATACCGGTATGTGTAGGGCTCCCTGGTTGACTGCACACTAACATGTAGAATTAATTAACAGACACATCGCCAACAACAAAGCTACGGCACCAGCGGAACATGCAACAGTTGTGCAGAGCTGACAATATATATTTAATTTATAAGGCCAAACTAAAGAAGGTGTGTGGTTCGACTCACCCGACCGACCGTACAATTTCAGCCCGACCGTAACTTTTTTTCGGCGGGCTGTCGTGTGACTGACGTACGTGGACTGAACACGTCCACGTCTACGTGCTGTGCGGCGCGAGTCTGCGGACGCAGGCGGCTCCTTTTGGACTTGACTTGTAGTTGTACTGCAGTGCAGTGCAGTGAGTGGTACGACTGCTGCCTTGTGCTGGTAGTAGAGTCTACTCGATACGCGTATACAGTGTATTTACATGTACTAAAAAATATATTTAAAAAAACAAAAATCCGCCCGCCCGCCCGTAAAAAAAATGTCCATGTTAGTCGAACCACACACCTTCTTTAGTTTGGCCTAATTTCAAGAGTATGCGGAATTTTAATTAACAGACACATCGGCAACAACAAAGGTACGGCACCAGCAGAACATGCAGCAGTTGTGCAGAGTTGACAATATATTATTATGTAATTTATAATTTCAAGAGTATGCGGCACTTGGCTAATTATCCATTCTTCTCTGCTTTGAATGCTGCAGTTACCGGTCGATTGTCATCTTCCCTATTCCACGAGCTAGTCCGAACAATATGGCAGGAGTTGCAGAAATCCGGAACCCTGCAAATCACCACAAAAGAACGGCCACAACGACATGATGCACCGGAGGCTGCAGCCATAGCATACCATGCTGGATGGTGCATTGTAGCTGTGCGGAAAAGGATATGGCACAAGCAAGGACAACAAGAAAACTTGCGGGTACTCAGTCAATTTGGAGTGGATGTGCGTCTGGCGCAGGGCTGCCGGGTGTCTAAGATAGAACTACTTACGAGTGAGGATGATTCAGTTCTTCACGGAAATGGGCAGCCAGCCGAGTCTGTAGAAGAGGATGTTGCAGAGGTAGAAGAGGTGGTCGAAGAAAGCGTAACACACGATGTGGCGGTTGCTGAAGTTGTGACGGTCAATGATGAAACATCCAGAAGCTTGTCAGCGGTGTTGGCAGCAGATGTATTCGAATCGTTTGATGACATAGAAGACGATCCACTCCTGCAGGCATGCAACCACACAGAAGAGAAGCAAAACCAAGGGAAGCACGTCTTCAAGCTGAAGTCAGATGCATTAGCAATGTTCCAGCAAATGCACGAGTTAACAGAGTCGAGTTTCCATGCTCTTCTGGCTAAAGAGCGCAGCACTGCACTGCCTCTCCTGAAAGCAAACCTTCTTGCAGATCAAGGCATCTGCAAGCAGTTCCACAGGCTCACCAACACTGATGACAAATCAATGTTGGTGGCGATCATCGATATGTTTGTCAAAAGCAAACAGAAGCAGATGCTGAGGAGATTCAACTTGGCCCCAAGGAAATCCTCCCAGGCCCTACGTGCCAGTGTCAAGCCGGGGAGCAATGCTGCCAGCAAGACAGCCAATCCTGACTCTGCCAGCATCCTCACAACTGGTACTGTGAAGCAACTTAAAGACGCATTGCGCAGTAATGGTTTGCCCGTGGGAGGGACGAAAGCTGACCTGATCAGCAGATTTTCCTCCCACCTAACCTCCTTGGAAAAGGAGAACTGCGAGCCAAAGTAATGAACCAGATAAGTAGTATTTATTTTATGTCTCAATCTCCGTCTTCACCACCACGGTGTTATGCTGCAATCGTCGTAAATATCTCCCCAATTTTTTGCCCTGGGGGCTTCATCATATCACATCGTATCATAATTATAGTATTTTTCCCACTGAACATTCATATTTCCTCAACCTTATGAATAGTGATTCGAATAGATTACAAGTTTTTCCTGTTATCTGCACCGCCTCCATCATGCTTGCATTGTAAATTATTTGCTAAGGCCTAAGGAGGCCTTCCTTTTCCAGCGTCGATATTGTCATTTTCGATTCGTTTTTGGTACACTTTTAAGTTTTCCAAAAACAAACATACTGTATTCATCTAATGGACACTCAAAATTTCTACTTTTGCCTTTCACAGCCTTTTGTTAAAAATTAAAGTCCAAAATCCTGCTCTACCCTTTCTTTAAGCTCCAAACATCTAAATGCCAAGCAAATGAAATAAATGGTGGAGTGTTCGTCTGTTCGTCCTAACTAGTAACTTACAGGTCATTTTCCCTTTACAAATGAAATATTTATAGTAAAGAAAAAGGATCAAGGAACTACAAGTTAGGCTATAATGTCCACTAACACCACCACTTACTTGACAATCAGCTAATGCGATAACATTGCACGACACTGACCGACGGTACCGACGTTCTACAACTAACTGGCTAACAGCTCTAGCACGTCTTGGGTGCGCAATCCAACAGCCTTCCAACTTGACGTGCTAGAGGTGATAGCTGATGATTGGCTCTCCATCCGAGTCTAAATGAAATATTAAAATTAATATCAATTTCCCTTTTCCATTCCCTCAATTGGTGAAAAAATTAATATCCGTGTATATTGAAGTACACACGCAAGTCACTTACTGTTTCTGGTGTGAATCCTTAGAAGTTGCCACCGTCCTTGCATGATGAGGCTTGAGAGGCATTTGAGCTGCACCCGTACCCAGGTTTCTACCCATGACATGAGTCTGATTGAGACACAGGCCATTGTACCCATACGCTTTGCATGTCATGTTGCTATTGCAACCGCCAATGCTCCTCTGGAGTCCAAAATACCCTTCAAGGAAGTCTTGATTAATGGTTTTCGGTATCACATAGAGAGGTGGTTCCAAGCTATGGAACTCTGTGGCAATGAATGCTACAAGGCTCTGCAAGCCTTGGGCTGCAAAAGTCACATCCTCATGTAACTGAGGGGAAACAAAAGATTTGGAGCCACCAGAAGATCCCGCATTGCTTTTCCAATCATTCAGCCATTGGCTTACGGATGCAAGTTTGACCAGGCGGGGGTCTGATGGGTCTACCAACTTGGTGCTTGAAGAAAAGATATCCACAAACATTTTAACGTTTTCCAAGTACTTCCGTACTCCTACCGTTCCAGCAGGATCACTGGTCTGCATTTCATCAATGACACACTGCTGGAAGACATCAAATGCCAGCCCAGCACGCATTTTGCTGTAGCTAGAAAGGTTTACATGTTCCTTTGTGATTCTTGTCAAACCCACTTGGCGCTGACTATCCCTCTCGTTCACCTCCCTAATCTGCTTCCACACTATGCTATACCCTTCAACCTGCAGGTGCCTCGTGAAAGACGCTCCTTGACCACTTTTCGAAAGGTTGTTTCGGAACTTCTTTACAATGTGTGTAGGGTCTGATATGACGAATATAGGGTGCAATGATTTCTTGTTGTAGTATGCACCGGAGCTATCCTGAAAGCTACGCAAAAAACCACGATTGCTACCACCACCGTCACAACAAAGGACAAGCACATCAAACCCAAACCGGTGAAGGCTTGAAACACCAGCATCAATTACATCTTCCAGTTGATACCCCTTCATAGACTTAGTGAAGAAGTAGCAGCATGGAAAGAAAAATTTAGAAAAGAGGCTCTTGAAGGAGAACTGCAGAACATGGGTAGCTAACAGGTCTTCCACTTCACCCTCTTCACTATCAGGATAACACCCACTGTCCACGAAGCCTACAAGGGTATCAGAACGTTCGTCCCATACAAGGCCTTCTTTCACCTTAACTTCGTCAAAGTAAAGTCCACCCATAAAGGCTCGGTCATGTCTGCCTTTTCCCTGACGAAGAAACTCATCATAGCTCTCTCTCATATTTCTGAGTGAATGTTCATGCCAACCGCTTTGAGGCTGGTTGAAGTTCCGGTACCTCAATATAGTCCTGCCAGACGGAAGTTTCAAAAACCCAGACTCCCGCATACTTTCGTACGACTGAGCAGACAGCGCATGTTGCTGCATACACCAGCGAAGCACTGATGGGTGCCAGCGCATTTGATGACTAGGTGTCACGAGGGCACGTGCCTGGTCAGCCAACAAAAGGCTAAAGAAAGCATCTTCAGGTTTACCTGTGTGCAAAAGCAAGTGTGTTTCACACAACTTTCGTGACCGAAAAGGACCGGATTTGCAATCTTTCCATTTACAAGTGTAGGATGGGTGCAATTGCAATGCACTATTTCGAACGTGGTCAAATTTCAAATGATGCACAAGATCTTTTATTTCCGAAAAATGCCTTTTGCAGCCTTCCCACATGCATATTGGGTTTTGCACTCTGTCGTGTATGATGTCCATACCGTCTTGAAGGTTTTTAAAAACCTCTGAAAAACCATCATCCACAGACGAAATCATTTCGTCCCTCATTTTCTGCAGCCGATGAAAGTTTCGGCTGAGTTCCTCAAACCGTTTAGCCTCAGAACGCAGGCGTAGAATTAAGTCATCACGTGACAAATGTATAAAGGCAGTGTGCGGAGAAACGGGTGTGTCCGAAAGCCGAGAGAGTGCTTTCCTCAGCGTTCCGTCAAACAATTTACAAGCTGCACACCTGGACCCAGCAGCTATCAGGTGGGGACAGACAACAGTTCGAATGCAGCGTTGTGGCACCCAGGCTTCTTCAAGATTCGCTACCACCGTACCATCTGAACCCCGGAAGATACCACCTTCAGGACGCGTCTCCACTACCTTCTCATACTTATTGTAAGAACACCCAGAGCATTCACTGGCAGTTGCCAACATATGCAGAAGTTTGGAAAAGTGGTCAGCTGATGACACTACATTATCAGATACATCAAGCTGCAAAGGCACTTGTATCCCATACATGAATGTTGAAAAGGAAAGGTTAGGCAGGATTCTAATGCTACGTACAGCATGTGCGGGACTTCCACCAAAGTAAAATAAATGCAACCCTTCATTTCCCTCGTTATCCAACCGCCAGAGCGAAAAGGTTGAGGCATGCGAATAAAAGAACTCCGAGATTTCAGATAATCCAAAAGGCTTATGATCCGCAGTCTGATTGGGTGCAAATTCCCACGAAGCTAAAGCTAAATCGATATCGCGAAGAAGCGCACTCCTGTCCGCTTCGATCATGCAATTCTTCAACGCATGGTGCAGAGTCCCTCCATGCCCCTGAATGATTTTCGAAACCAAGTCACTAAACCTGGCCCACCTGACGCGCCCACGATACTTTCCGGAGTTCGTTGACTTTGTCGGAGCTCGCTTCAGGTAAGAGGTTACCTGTGAAGGAGAAAGTTGATCCTTGCAATTCAAAATTCGATTTGCACCGTTCACTGCACGTTCAAAGGCCAGCAATGCTGCGTCCCGCGCTCTAAACGAGTTTGTGGGGAAGCTGGTCTGCAATATGCTGTACAGCACAAGTTCCCTACAGCATGGTGGGTCACCATTTTTCCAAGTGATTGGGTTACATGCTGGGTGCAGCTCAGCCTCGATGCAATGATTGCGTGAGTTGTCACCAACAATAGCTTCTTTCGATTGAATTCCTGAAACAAGAAGCAAGAAGAAAATTCACCCATTCACCCATACATATGAACTACTCCCCACTTCATCGTGCATGCAGGACAGCAATGCTGGAGCATGACCATCGTACCTGTTGTGCTATTCGTATCTTCATGTTCTCTTAAAATTCGCTTCAAAGGCGGATCAGCATCACCACGTGAGGTCCTATATTGACATATAAACAGAAAGAGAACAGACAGAACTTTGGTGTTTGAGTACCCAGGTATGGTGCTCGGCACACTGCAGCTATACATTCGTTTCGTATAGTTGTACTGAAAACCGCGGTGCTTTACTCGTCCCAAAAATAGTGACATTTGAAGATGAATTTGGCAATCAAAATTGCCTCCTAACGTTTCCATTTTTTTAGGGATAAAACGAGAAGTTATGTAGATGCTATTAATCAACAGTTCATAAATCCACGTCTTTGCCGAGTGGAAATATATGCTTGCTAACATGATGTATTTTCAATATGTGCAAATGTTGCATTCACAAAAAATTCTGAAAACAGGCAATAACTACACGAATTGTCCCTGTTTCCGACTTATAGTAATTAGGTTAACTTATATTTGCACGATACAGCGAATCCAAAGAGTCTATCCACTTGTTACAGCTATACAAAAGTACGAACTTGAAAATGTTTTTAGGCTCTGATTTCACCACGACGTTCAGCAGAGTTTAGTTAGATCGCTGTGCTAGTGTGTGGCGACAGCCTTTATCTTCGCCGGAAATACTCGTTCAGAGTGTTCAAACTTGGTCAGACTTCAGGAAACATGTTCATTCGATCGTCATTTTCACTAAATTTTGACATCACAAAACACTCTTACCTTTTACCCAAAAGCTGAGCCTGGGAAACATTGGCCGCCATCCTACTTGCGTCAATGACCACTCAAGGCCATATTGAAGTGTCACAGCAAGCCAGCATATGATAAGATGACTCTCACAAACGATATTCAGCATCGATTAACTCTTTTCATCAATATCTGTACTGATATGATGTGTGATGAGAACTCTCAGCTACTTTTTTTTTTTTGAATGAGTCAAACGTCATGCACAGTTTCTGTGCCCGTGTCACCTCCCGGTATGTGTAGGGCTCCCTGGTCCGCACTGCCCGCACCATACCGTTTGCCTACTGGGTCCACATAAACGCTCACTGGACAGTATGATCAATGATCGTATTATCGAGCCACTGAGTCACGGAACCCTCTGCGTGGTGCCATCCGATGGTTCTCGTTAGGAAGAAGGGCACTACGGAGATGCGACCGACTGTGGACCTTCGGAAGTTGAATGATCAGGTACGCAGACCCACCCATCCTGCTCGTACGCCACATGATGCAGTGGCAGCCATCGGCAAAGTTCGCTACTTCACGAAGCTCGATGCCCGACATGGCTATTGGCAAGTCCCGCTGTCCGACGATGCCAAGCCCTTAACCACATTATTACACCGTGGGGGCGGTACCAGTTCCTTCGCAACCCGCAGGGCCTTGTATCTGCTGGGGATGTGTTTTACTCTCGCACAGATGCGGCGTTTGATCGTCTCACCAACTTTGTTAAAGCGGATGACGATGGTCTTGTGTACGATACCGAACTGACGGCTCATTTCACCCAAGTTAGTGACGCTCTGCTCCGCGCCCGTCAGCACGGCATTACCCTGAACGCCAAAAAGTTCGTCTTCGGCGTCCCAGAAGTCGACTACTGTGGCTACCATATCAACACTGATGGTTACACCGTCGACAGTGACAAGACGGCAGCCATCACTGATTTCCCAGTACCCGTTAATCGCACTGACGTCCGCTCATTCTTCCGGCTAATCAACCAGTGTAGTGATTTCTCGCCCCGTATTGAACAGCTCAGCGACCAACTTCGCCCATTGCTGAAATCCACGAATGAGTTCCTGTGGGAGACGGTACACACCGACGCGTTAAATAACGTCAAAGCTGCCCTGGCTTCTCCCCCGGAACTGTCGTTCTTTCAGCCTGGCCGACCGCTTCGGCTAGAAACTGATGCGTCCGTGAAGAACGGACTTGGTTATGTTTTGTGGCAGCAGCAGGGCGACACCTGGTGCATCCTCCAATGTGGAAGCCGGTTCTTCTCCGATGCTGAGACGACATACGTCGTCATTGAGCTCGAATGCCTTGCGGTTACCTATGCTTAGGGTTCCCTGTAAAAAGGCGCTGACACCTGTTGGGAATTCCCTAGTAAAAGAAGAATAAATAAATAAATAATATACCTGGGCAGTATGCAAGTGCTCAATCTACCTCTCCAGTGCTCGGATCGGTTTGAAGTAAAGTTGTTACTGACCACCGCCCGCTCCTCCCTATTCTGAATTCCTACTGTACTTGGATCAGATAGAGAATCCCAGGCTGCAGCGGTTCGTCCTGAAACTGCGGCCCTATCAAGTATCAGCTACACGCAACCTGGCGGAAAGGCACGGATCATGCTTTCCCTGATGCTCTGGCCCGGCAAGGGCCGCCATCCAGTCAGCGACCCCTGCCCTGACTACGAACTGGATGAGAGTAGATCTACTGTCTCTCAGCGCGCTGCTATCCGTGCGTGCACGCTTGACACGTCTGGTGGCCTGAAGTACCAGGAGCTCCGTTCCGCAGCCCAGGCCGACACTTACTACCACTGTACATGTACCAGTGCCTAGTTTAGTTCTTTGTTTGTATTGTATTGTATTTTATTATTTTACTTGGGCATTCCCAACAGACCCTAAGCCTTAGGTCTTCTTACAGGGTGCCCAAGATGAATGAAATTTCATCGTGTCTGGCTTCCCTGCAAAGAGGGCCCTCATGCCTGTCACTCCAGCAGTACTGGAATGGTCATGAGCACCTCTTTATTGACAGTGGTTTGGTGATGAAAGGACCTCGTCTCCTGATTCCCGTCGCTCTCCGGCAGCGTGTCTTGTCTGATCCACACGCATCCCATCAAGGATTGACGCGCACGAAGTCCCGTGCCCGCAGATTGTTTTCTGGCCACGATTGTCAGCCGACATCGAGCATGTTGTCCGCAGTTGTGACAAGTGCCGCCTGCACAGCGCCTCACAACCGAAGGAACCACTCCGTGTGGAAGATCGTCCTCCAGATCTGCCGTTCCAGCACTGCAGCGCCGACCTGTTAAAAGTGTGAAGGCCTCCAGTATCTGGGGTATGTGGACCGACTAACCAGCTGGCACTGCGCTGCCAAGCTCGGAGTCGGATGCACTGCCCCTCTGCAGGCGTCATTCGGACTCTTCGCCGCTGGTTTCCTGACATTGGTGTCCCTGAGGTACTTACCAGTGATGGTGGCCCTCAGTTCCAGTCCCATGTATTCGCCAAGTTCTGTGATACATATACATGGCACATTCGTCACGCTAAATCCTCTCCGCATTATCCACAGTCAAATGGGCTTGGCGAGAATGCCGTGAAAGCAATGAAGTCGCTGATTCACAAGACACCTGGAAATGGCAATCTCGACGTGGATTCCTTTCAACGTGCGTTGCTTGAGTGGAGGAATACGCCGAGCTCCACTGGTCAGAGTCCAGCCCAAGCTCTCTACGGCCGGCATCTGTCGTCTTTTGTGTTTGCCCACCATTCCAGCTTTGCTCCTGCATGACAAACACACGCTAATGAAGTTGACCAGCGCTCATCGCACTACTAGTATCTGGAGTTAACTCAGCAGCATTACAACCGCTCTGCTCGGTCCCTTCCTCGTCTGTCTCTTGGAGCACATGTCAACATCCAGCATCCCCAGGCCAAGTCGTGGTCAGCTCATGGCTCAACCGTGGCCATTGGTCAGCACCGGGACTACTTGGTGAAACTTCCAAGCGGCCGCATCTATTGCGCAACCGCCGTTTCCTTCGACCGAGAGTCTCTCCTACACCACCGCCAACTGCAGCCATTCCTACTGTTTATGCTCCAGACGCTGCACAAGGCCAGACACCAGTTGCCTCTACTTCCCCTGGTGTACATGCCCCAGCACAGCCTGCACCACGCCGCAGTCATCGCCATCGGCAGCAGAACGTCCCGTTTAATGTGAAATCCACACGCGGACAATCTTCTGCCAGACCTATGACTGTTGCTGTTAGTTTATGCATTTTATTGCTGTTGTGTTTTTGTGTTGTTTGTTTTTGATCAGATAAAAATGTCTTTTATCTCAGAAGGCGGGTGGTGTATCCATAATGTTCTGCCCGTTGTACGCATTGCCATTTCCACTCGCGTTTGTACGCATACTAGTACACACATGCATCACGGTTTTCTGCCTGTCCCTTGCTCTGGACAAGAAGTATTTTCTCTTTGTCTTCTGAAAGATAAGTCACAAACCCTACCTCGTGTGTTTGCGTTTGTTGACACAACACCCTCGGGTCCAGCTACCGAGCACCTTACGTAGAAACGTACGTAGACAGCGTGGCAATAGCGGTGTCGTTAGCTCTTACATTGCGACCACAACAATAGAAAAGCTGACAGGGTCGCTTTTCTAGATAAGGTATTTGTGCACTTTTCATGCCCATTTGTCACACCTACATTGTAAATTCTATCCTTATCATAGGCCTCACTTTATGTAATACTTCCGCGACATTTGTAACACTTCGAAGTAACTGGGATTTTTAACAATGTTTTTGCTTGATCAATTTAGTTCCGTATTTCCACTGATGATCGGAGCTTGAAAATTGATTATGGAAACACACAATTTCAAACCTGGAACAAATAATTGTCATGTTGCGTGGTGATGTCTGCGGCATTCATACTTTTCATAGTGGGGTACTAGCTGTGCTAATACTTGCTAGCAACAGTCCGAACTAGCGCACACACTGCATGCACTGCATTGCTTTGTACTGCATTTAAGACTGACGTCATGCGCTTTGCTTTGCTACGTAATCACAAATGGCACCAGCCCGCTTTGCTGTAAAGAAAAAAAACCAAATCCTGCTTGCCCTGTTGTGCTCTTCCAGACAACGGATCCTGCTTCAGCAGTGTTTCTTTTCCCACCCTCCCTCCCTATCCAACTTATTCACACCATCATTATTATTATACAAATAATCTACGTGGAGATAATAATTTTAATATAGCTATGAATAGGATGAAGGCCGCAGACATCACGCAACTACATTACTTGTTTGACATGTATTTACTGTGTATTTTATAACAAAAATATTATTAGTTCCCTATTTTTCCCACTGATGATAGGAACAAGAAAATCGATTATGGGTTTTCAATAATATTTTTGTTATAAAATACACAGTAAATACGTGTCAGACAAGTAACGTAGTTGCGTGATGTCTGCGGCCTTCATCCTATTCATAGCTTTATTATTATTATTATCGTACCCATTAACCGGGTCCACTCTCAAAACTGGTGTTATCTAGCTATTTGCTGCGGCTCTTCCTTGCGCTATATTATATCCATTATTTTAGCATTGCCGCTCTACGTTGTGCTAACGGCAGCTCTACTTTGAGCCAACAACCGCTCGACTTTGAGCCAACAGCAGCTCTACTTTGAGCTAACCGCAGCTCTACTTTGAGCTAACTGCAGCTCTAATTTGAGCTAACAGCAGCTATATCTTGAGCTAACAGCAGCTCTACTTTGAGCTAACAGCAGCTCTACCTTGAGCTAACCGCAACTCTACTTTGAGCTAACAGCACTAGTTCTACTTTGAGTTAACCGCAGCTCTACTTTGAGTTCACCGCAGCTCTACTTTGAGCTAACACATTCTCTGCTCAGAGCTAACAGCAGCTCTGCTTTGAGTTAACCGCAGCTCTACTTTGAGCTAACACCAGCTCTTCTCTGAGCTAACCGCAGTTCTGCTCTGAGCTAACAGCAGCAGCTCTACTTTGAGCTTCAAACCAGTTGTTTCTAAACCAGCACTCCTCAATCCACAGATGCCTCTTTGTTGACTTGTTTGTGTGAGGGATGGGGCTAACTATTATTACAGCGGCTCAGCAATATTGCTCGCGGGTATAGCAGTGGGATGGCACTATTGCTGGTGTGTACAGAAGTGCAGTACTGTTGAATGTGGATACTACACCTTCACATCCTCTAGCAGCACTGTAACCAAGTACTTAAGAGCCTCTCATTTTGTCCAACACCCATCTTCCTGAGCCTCTCATTTTGTCCAACACCCATCTTCCTGAGCCTCTCATTTTGTCCAACACCCATCTTTCTGAGCCTCTCATTTTGTCCAACATCCATATTCCTGTACTAGACTGCTGCAAGTGGCTAACGATGGCGTTTGCAACTAAAACGGTAAGTGACGTTTGCTGCTTGCTTTACAAAATGCTCCGTTGCGCTGTAGTCAGAAAACGGAACGGTTGTGTTGAAAGTAAGGATTCAGGGAACACTCAATCTTTCGGTAGTGTTCATACATCATGAGACAATGTCGGTAGTACCAAACATCATTTATTTTGAGATCGCAACGGTTCCGATGTTGAGCAAATTTGGCTCTCTTTTATTCCAGAGTGGACCTCATTCACCAATAATGTAGTAGAATCATGCATCAATTTTCTCCTTTGAACAAACAACAGCGACCACGTTGTCTTGATGTTCGCAGTGCACTATAGCCAACTGAACCAGAGCGAGACTTCAAATGATTCAACAAAATATGACCGAAGCTAAGTTCCTATAATGAAGTCCACACCTTTTGGCATTGACCGAGTCTACTGAAAACACCGCGTTGTTAATTCCTATACACATACACACACACGTGCCTGTTTTGTGCTACAAGGAAACCTTTGCATTGGGCTCTTGCTTCAGATTGGTCACACTTATGTTTTCATGATTTGTGTACTCCATTTTAATGCTTTGGCAGATGGCTACCCTCATCTTGGTGGTACTAGAATCCATGTGTGGCCTCACAGCACCTATAGCAGGTAAGAAGATAAACAGTCTGTAGAATCAACGTAGGAGCTAGGGATTAACGTTACGTGACTCGCAAGTCAAAGAAATGAATGCTAGCATTCCTAGCTCTCTATTGACTCGAAGTGCCTTATATTTGATCGTGGCCTTTCTAGATCCTGGTACTGAACTGACTTCAATGTTATGCTCGTTGGATGCCACTGGCGTTTACGGGGGTCCCTGTATGAAATTGATGTGAATTCCTAACGAAACCAAAGAATTTGTTTAACAAGACGAAAACAAGAGTCCGTAGCCACTCCGAAACCCCAGGAAAATTTGTATTTATTATTTAAAGGATTTCCCAAAGGCATAGCCTATCGGGGGGATCTCCTAACAGTGAAAATGATCCTTGATTTATATACTAGTGAAGCGAGTTGTGCAGGCAAATATACATGTATACTGTTAACATAAAAAAATCACGGTTCGCGCGAGACTCGGCTGGAAGCCGGGCTTTCCGCATCCATAGGAACACCACCACCCTTAAAGGATCAAGGCGCAGATGCAGCTCCTAAAGCGGTGGGAGGTGAGTGGATCAGCTCGCCAGCAAGTGGTCAAAGACCTAAAATCCCATTCACTGCATCCATGTTTTCCTCGTGCCTGGCCACGAGTTCCCAATTAACTGTGGGTCGCAGCACAGGTGGAAAATAATCCTTCCGCTTCCAAGCAGGACTTGAACCTGGTACCCTCTGTTTCTCAATCATGATCATAGACCATCACGCTATGCCTGCCTGCTGTTTATAATGAGCGCGAAATTGTTTCCGAAATTCTGAAACAGAATCTATAGCGGTAATCTTGGGTGGAAAAAAAGGCAATTCCATAATTTGCCGATTTTATATAAGAAAAGGGAAGATGAATATCTCCCATGAGAGTTGAAAACAAGCTGGTTCGGTCTGCGTTGGCTACGAGAAATATTGATAGTAAAAAGGGATAAGATACGAAGTTGAAAGTGGATGTATTTGAAAAGAATTGTAATAGCGATGAGGGTACATCTGAAATGGAGGGATTCTAAATTACACATACTATTTAAACTATCTTTTGATTAATATGTATACCAAGTAAATTAATTAAATACTAAAGCCTCTTGTATTAAATTCTACTACTACTACTACTACTTTTTGAAGTATGGCTCACCATGATCAGACGCCTACCAAACTAAACTGGATTCACACACTCGCATAAAGGAAGACTGAAAAGAACAGGGAGACTGAAGGAAGACAGGAAAGAAAATGCCATACCTGGAATCAGCGTTAGTAACCACGGCGGCGGCTGGAGCTATGGCGGAGGGCGAGCCAGGTTGCATCTTGGTTGAGCCGGTCACTCAGAGCGGCTAGCTCGGCGTCAGACAAATAACCTCCCTCCTCGTCTTGAATCATGGTCTTCACATTGTCGATAGCATCGCTTTGCGCGACGTAAAGAGTGATGGTCTAGCCAGGAAGAGTGTTGACGAAAATCTGCATCACACCACGGAGACGAAGTACCAGGTGAAGAGTGGACTCCTGCTGAATGTTGCAGTCACTCAGGGTTCGGCCGTCTGCCAACTGCGTGCCGGCGAAAATCAAACGCTGCTGGTCTTGGGGAATACCCTCCTTGTCTTGGTCAGCAGCCTGCATGTCGTCGTCCTCATCAGCTTTGCCATCACCACCGGTAGTATACATGTAGGGAGCGGGTCGCTTGGAATCGCCATCGGAGTCTCCAGTGAGTGCCGTGCGGAGAGACGGGTGATCCACGCTAGCACCCTGACTGTGCTGCAAGCTAATAAGCAGGGCCAAGCCCAGTAAGGCAAGAAACATGATTCTCATCTTAATTCGTAGCACGGAGCTGCAGCGGGTTGAGCCATGGGGGTCTGGGGTCGAATCACGTTGTTCTATTTAAAACTACACCGCTGCCACCAATGTAACAGGTAGCCGAGTGGCAGGCGCGGTGTAATCAACAACAGTTCGTTTTATTCTTCTCTTCTCTCAGGTACACACCTGGGATATAATTATTAGTGAAAGAAGAAGCGGCAAATAAATGGAACTTTCTCTCCGGTGCACACCTGGAGGTTGAATAGCTCGTTATTATCAAAAATCTCATCAAAACAGAAATGCGCAGCAGCCTTTATGCTACAGACGCCATACGCTTACATACGGAGATACACTAAAATAATATACATCAGGCAAAGCTGCGTATTAGTTCCGTACTGCTTCCGTATTGGTCGGGCAGGGATACTACACATGTAGCTAGCTGTGCAGTAGTAAGGGCGATTCTCCAGACTGGGGTGGAATATTCTATTGTGGGGCGTACATATGATTTGTAGAGCAAGGCAATGTTGGGTTAAGGTAGATAGCGACTCATATAGCACAATCAATTTACTCTTTGCTGAAATTTCTTGGATATGGTATTGAAATGATTATCGAACTTAAGATTACTGCTGAGCTGCACTCCTAAATGTTTACAATCCTGCTTGAAATGTAGAGAATACAGAGTAATAACATACAATGCACATAGCTAAGGTGTGTTGCTATCCTGTTCAGGATTATCATCTTTGTGCTGCACTGATGTGTTCACAAAGGACAAAACATTACTCTCCGCAGATCGAGTACAATACGTTATGTCGAGGGTAGTGTATTCTAGCCGACAAAGGAGAAGGCACTTTGTCATGAAATAATTACTTCTTCCTCCTTTCTATGTTTCTTTTCTAAAGGTTTCTTCCCACTTCCATATTTTCCTCCGCCTGCTGGGGGTCCTCCTGTACCAAAATGGAGCGCCGGTGAATTGAACGCACCGATTTTGTACCCACAAGTGGGCAGTCACCACGCCGGTTTCCTTATCTTCGGCCCTTCAGTGAACAAGCCCATCACTGAAATCACAGTACACTGCGAAACTACTAAAGCAGCGCCGCAGGTCGCTGTCTCTGGCCGCACCAACAGCATCATTCAGGACTATAGGCCAATTGCGCAGGTGACTGTCACAGGTCTACAGCCGAGCACGGAGTACGTGTGCTACTACACCGCCACCAACATTTTCGGGACTAGCATGCGCAGCTTAGTAAGCGGGCGTTTCATCACCTCCCCGTCTCACTAGTAATCTGGTAAGTCAAAATATTGCAGTTTCCCTGCCAGGTTTCAGGTGTAATGTAGAATTAGGCGACCAGCCTACACTTGATATAGCGCCTTTTAGGTATAATCTAAATTCAGGTGCCTGGTTTCTCTACCGAAGTTACCGAAATAAAAATTGCACCAAAATAAACGTGTTGTACTGTACGCAATGGTGCCAAGTGAAGGGTGTCCACAGCTCTGGCGATGCAACCTTAGTCAATGAGGATATTCCAGTACTCAGTAGTCGAAAAGAGCCGGGCACTGCAAAGCAAAAGCATTGAATACTCTGGTAATTGGATTTTGTACCTGCCGTATTCACGGGGCGAGTTTTAATGGTCAAACCTGGATACCACGTTGACTAGTAAAATTCCTCATTCATACAATCATCATCATCATCACAAGCCCTTAGCCCTAAGACCGTTGGGGCGTCACAGAGCAAGCATGAACAAGCCAGCGCCATAAAAATCGATCGCGTGCAGCAGCGAGCAGGGAATGCACGTCAAGTGCAGTCCATGAACTAATATTATCAAGCCATGACATTCTGGGCCTGCCTCCGCCATGACCTCCAGCAACACAACCCTGAAGAACAGTCAATGACAAACAGCCGGAAAAAACAATATGACCAAAAATTGCAATTTCCTTTTACGAACAGAAACAATAAGTGGAACTTGTTTGTGAATACTATTTATTTCCTCCCTAACAGACACATTCGTCCGGTGACCAGTGAACGGAATCCTGAGAAGGCGTCGATAGCTTCTCATTTCGAAAGCCTCGATCTTTTTCACAATTTCACACTACATACATTATTTCTCAAGGAACTGTTGACGGAGACTGCCTATTAAAGTTCTATTGAATCGATAAAATTTATATACAAATACAGTACGACACAGTGACGAGGAAGACGGTGGGGCACAAGTTATGCGTTAGAGTCCGCCAATTAAACTAGGTTTTGAACAGTCAGACGTCAGACGCTAATGCAGAACCTGTGCCCCATCGTTCTCCTTGTTTCCAATTTCTAATTACCTAGGCTGACCATCTGAGTCCTTTTAAATACAGTGACGGCATATACTTTTCAAGCTTCCTACCTGTGCGTCTAAAAAAATTAGTCTAGTATTTAGTCTAGTATTCCTAGTACTAGTGAGTCGTGCTGCTCGTAAAACTACAGTAAAACCTGGTGTAAGCGACCTCTGGGTTTAGCGACCACCTGCTCTTGACGACCGTTTTTCCATGCACTGACAGTTCTACACACACACCGCGGGACCTGGTTGTAAAGACCACCTGGCTTTAACGACCGCTTTTGCTTGCACCGTGGGGTGGTCGCTTAAACCATGTTTGACTGTATAACATCGTTAACATGTTTATTGCAAAGCCACCATTCCATGTATTTTACAATTTCGCACAGAACTCCTCTGACACTGCTGATCAGTGTGCACTACGGAATTTACCTTTTGCAGCAGACCTGAAACACATCAATTTCCCCATCTGGGTATGGCCTGGAACTTGCGCTGCCGAGGTCTGGTGCCATTGATTTTCAAATCTTGGTATAAAGTAGAGGTTCAGGAATCAGGGCCCCTTTGTGCCAACTTTAATATGGTAAAATTACCCTGGTTGGTCTAATCGAGAGTTCATGCCTGTAGCACACAATACGCTGAACAATACATGTACATGTACATGTGCAATGGTAAATGTACACGACTATACTTCAGACAGAAGCGCATCCACTCGGATCCTCTCCCTTCCATATGTACATGTACATGTACATATATGACATTGCTGATACGACTAAACGGTACTGTTACTAGAAGCGTATCTTTTTCATGATGCGCGTATTCAGGGTCAGGTGCGTCTAGTTAGGTAGCCTGTCTCAGGTCTTCTGATCCAAATCTTCTGAATTTTTACATGTCGTTTAATTAAAAAAAGCGAAATATTGTTCGTGATAGTTCTTTAATTTATAAGAAGAAAAGAGGACCAAAGAGCTACAAGTTACGCTACAATATCCACTAACACTACCAGTTACTTTACAATCAGCTCTTGTGATAACACTGCACGACACTGGCCAGCGGTACTGACGTCGTACACCTAACTGGCGTTGAGCTCTAGCACATATAGGATGCGCGGCACTCCAACAGCCGTCCTACTTTGAAGTTATAGAAAAAACATAAGGCGTGTTATGAATGTTATCGCGTGAGCTGATTGTACAGTAACTGGTGGTGTTAGTGGATATTATAGCGTAACTTTTAGCTCTTTGGTCTTTTCTTCTTATAAATTAATCCTTGGCTTTCCACCCGTTATTATTATTATTATTTCCACCCGTTAGGCGCTGCATCTGCTGCTAGGGTTTACCAGGTGTTAGCGGCCATCGTGAGTTCCCTTCGGGAACGGAAACGATGTTTAATTTTTTTCCCACCCGAATCTTATAGTTCTTTAAATAGAGATTAATTCGGAGGAAACTTATCAGCACACAAAGAGACGAAGTCATTTTAAAATCTGATGAGGCCTTCCGCAACATTACTTCTTGAGTACATATCTACAGCCTAAGCTTTGTAGACAGAAGGAATTTGTTAGGCAGCTAGTGCTAATATGACTTCCCACCTCCCTGTTACAGTTCTTACACTCTTTGACGCAACTCACGCCATCATTCAGCCTGGGTCAGTTTCATAAAAAACATTTCCTGCAGTATGCTGTATAAACAGTAGGACAGCGTTGTACTTCGTTACAATATCACCATGATTGTACTGATTTGAGAAGTAATGGCACGAAGAGGCCTGATCAGATTTTCAACTGGCTTCGTTTCTTCCTGTGCCTGGATAAGTATTCCCAGGTACAGTCGTGCCTCTTGAATCCAGTACTTTATAAGCCAGCACCCTCTACCAGAGGATGTACCCAGTGTGCTGACAGTGCTCTACACCGCGGTGGCAGAGCGTTATACAAAACAACAAACAAGCCTTGATTGTCCTTCGTCTGCAAACCAGCACCCTCTATAAACCAGAACCCTCTATAAACCAGAGCTCTCTATAAACCAGCATAACATGCAGCAACCAAAATGTTCTTTTCATGCACAATGCAGTAGTGAATCAGATTTTTCAATCCAGAAACCTCCCTAATCCAGCAGAATTTCCATTGAACAAATGGTGCCGGATTATGAAGGCACCACTGTAGTGCGCATGACTTCAAGCTGATACTGGTGAGTGTAGTCAAGACAAAACTAACTCTTGCATTTCTATTTGTCACGTTCATGCTTTTCCCTCCAGGACACTCGCAAAGGAGATCACCGCTGGGGAGACACTTGCTTCGGGTCTTCAGTGAAATAGCCCAGGCGCCGGCCAGCCGATGCCAATTGAATGCTATTTTCCACAGCACGTGTCTCGTGCCGCAAGTACAGATTTTATCCTAACCCTTTCTTCTTAACAATTATTTTGGTATATGATTATTTGATAGCTTTTAGATGTATTTGATCTATTTTATAACTTTTGGATATCCTAACTACAACGATCTGTATAAGCTCACCTACACCGAGCCAATACCTGGAATTGCGAAGCGAGCTAGATGGTGGTTACTCGGGCACATTCTACGCCAACCAATCGGCCCACCCGGGAACCAAGCAATGATGGCATACCTAACTGCAGAGGAAACAACTAGACACAGGAAGGGAGCACCTCAGTCCTGCCTGGTAATCACCCTTCAGCGAGACTGTAAGCTAACTGCAGTTGCACTGAAGACGAATCGACACCTAGAAACGCTCGGGGACTTTGCGGCCGTTCGAACGAGATGGGACAACATCTGCTCGGCCATCACATGAACATATGGACTGTCTTACGTGTTCGGACGGTGCTTGTGCTTACTACTATATCAGTGTCTACAGGCATCCGAAGCACTGATTGTATCTGTATTATTTTGAACTCAATGTATGCAACACTATTATCTCCACATCACCATGTTTTTATTTTTGTTTACGTTTTTTCACTCCATTCACTTTTCACTCCATTGTCGTGAGTTCCCCTTGGGAACGGATACGAGAATAATAACTATAATGTCAATTAAATATGGCAAAAAGATGTGAAAGACTACTAACTCTCTGTAGCACTCGCTGTGTATTATGTGGTTGCATGCAGATCTCACGATCATGTTGGGGATGCCTTGAGATCATAAACGGCTTATCTCAGGCATGAGTGTCTCGAGGGAACAGTTCCCAAATCCTTTCCTGTAAAAATTGCAGTGTGCTGAAACATGGTTTGCGCGATGGATGTACGATGTAGCGTAGTAAAGGCTGTATACACCTACTTTGAAGAGATCACCAGCAGCCCCAGTAGTACTGGGGCCAATTCAAAAAATCGACCTTTAAAATACATGCCTTGACAGATTTTGGCTAACAAGGATTTTTCGCTGTTATTTGATAGATAATGTCTTCAAGAGCATCTTGGCCCAGTATGGTGTGTCCAATCGCGTCCAAAGGTCCCGAAATCACCCTCGATAGGAATACAAAATTGCCGAAAAAAACTAAGTTCTCATCGGCTATATTCAAGCATTTTCAATACTTTCTCGGTACTATTGACTGGACCTGGGAGTTTTACCCTTTTATGTGCCAGGAGCTATAGTAACACCGTACATACACAGGATGCGAACCGACGCGTACACTGATTTTGTGCGAGAGTTGGAAAGATTGAGCATCAAGTACTAGTAGTGCAGTTGTGACATACCAGAAATAGGGTACCTACTCGTTTGGACACTTTCTTCAAAGTTTTGCATTGACTCGCTGGCGCTTTTGCTGTCGGAACGTCCACGAATGGATCGATGCTAAATTCAGCAGAACCTTCATTACAATGTCATCTTGGCTCCCCGGAAAAGTAGGCATGATTCCAACAAGGAGCAGCACAATTATGTGTGTAAAGCAGGGAAAAGGTCATTATAGCTTGCCAAGCCAGTTGTAACTATTCGTAGGACTAAACTACAACCGTGGAAAGTTTCAGACCTGGCTAACTTCATCGGGCTGGAATGAAGGCATTTACTTTGTGAGTACTGCTGCACAGGAGGTGTTACAGTGGACGAGCATTTGATTCGAATCTACAAGAGCGGCTAGTGTTAGTACCATGATTTGAACACACCGACCGTGGTGATCAGCTACCATTTGCACAAAGCCTATTTACCAGCTCACCAGCTCTAGGACAACTGCCTTAGGAGTGGCATGCTGCAGTGAGAGGGAGTAGCTATGTGGTGTGGAGTGTTACAAAAACAAAATCCGAGTACCTGGAGGTAACCTATCACAATATGCAACACCAGCAGTAGAAGAATCATTTCCTTGTCACAGAATTTGATGGCTGGGCCTAGGCAGTGTGAAACTGCAGTTATACTTATAAAACACTAACTGCAAGAAAGAGTCCGATGTCCAATGTCATGGCTTGTCTCTCCTGAACTGATCACGGCACGTAGTTGATGCGATTCAAGAGCGGCGGTGAAGAGGGAAAACATGTTTATATAATACCTCCTGTACTAGTGGCTAAAGAATTGTCCCTGACTGCAGAGCAAACATTGATGGTGTAGGCGGCGGAGCAGAGATGGGCTCAGCTGTACGGCGTAGAGTTTCCAAAGCTCAGACGGAAGAACAATTTCAGTTAAAGTGAAACACATGGAAGCGAAAGTATTCGCATCACAATGTTGGGATCGATCAGCCTTTTAAACTGCAGCTATTCACATGTGAGTGTTGTCCAACTGCAGCCCTGAGGTATTTTCAAAGCATTTAAGTATAGTGAGAAGCTAGCCAATGTTTGGACTGTTTATCTACTAGTATGCAAAGGATTTTGGTATTTTCATTTTCATCATTTTTTCGTTACAGCACTGCCATTGCATATAAGTAATGACTAATGTTGTCCTTCTTACATTGCTGCGAGATCTATCGTATTATCTACACGTACTTCGAGTAAATTAGTTCAGGTTGAAACTTTCCTATAGGCTATAGCACTTTGTTCCTTAGACTCTGACAGTTTCCTACCACCTTTTCCTTCTCCTGTCAGTACTTGGGTTACAATACCTATTCTCTCAGTTGAAGTGTAACGCCGAACCGTCTGACGCTTCTCTCGTGTTTGCAGTCTGATAATTATAGTAATGCATGCCTGTAAATAGTCTCATGTACCTGCTAGCTGCACATACATGTACACGTACCTCAATGCTTACATTCGACGCGACATGTAATGTACATGTACATGTCCAATAGCCAAGTTTCACTGCACTTTGGAAATTTTGTTTTGATACTGTAAAAGTACAGTACTTGGCGCCGTACTGTATCTACTGCTCATTCTGAGCAAAATGAGGTGCTACTTGGCCATATACGTGTCAGTAAAAATGGATATAGGAGCAATTCTAGTTAGGTTGCCATGGTAATAACGGCCTTTTCTATTTTGATGTTTTTCACCATGTTCGGACACAATTCGGCAATCGAAACCTATGCCATCGTGTTCAGGAGGCAAAAACCATCCAGGAATGATCATAAAATCCATGTTAGCAAACATGTGTCAAGTAAAAGTGAGAAATTTCAAATGGGCCCTAGGACTACAGGGCTCAGTGTATTTTATCAACAGATGCACAAGACGGTCGCGTGGACATAAGGCAGTTATTTCAATAGATGGGAGACAATTGGGTGCAGAACAATTTATTCTAGGGCGCAACATTGCGAATAGGGTGTGTAGCGCTCACTGACCATTGGTTTCAGAATCCTAGTCGTGAATGCATTACCTGAACTACAGTTTGTCGTGCAAGACAGAGATAGGGAGAGTGCACGAGAGAAAATTACAGATATAGAGATAGATAGACAGACAGACAGACAAACAGACAGACAGACATACAAAGAAACAACTAGAGACAGAAAACGAGAGACAGACAGACTACAAGAGACAGACAGACAACTAGAGTCAAACAGACAACGAGAGACGAACAGACAACGAGAGGCGGACAGAACAACAAGAGACAGGCAGACAACGAGAGGCAGACAGACAACGAAACACAGATAGACAACGACAGGCAGACAGCGAGAGATAGGGACCGGCGGATTCTGCTCGAAAAGGTGGCAGATTCTGCTTGAAAAGCAGTAAAATTGGCAAAACCATACAAACCTTATGCCGGGCAATTCCTCGAATTCTGCTCCATTTCTTTATCCACATACCAAACATGCATGAAACTTACCAGAAAAAATACCAAATTCTGCCAATTTTTCTGCCGGCAGAATCCGCTGGACCCTAGCGAGAGACAGACAACGAAAGAGAAAGAGAGATATATATGGAGCTCAAGAGGGTCCCTATTCCTATTTATGGACGATGTTGCCATGTATTGCGTCGGATATGCGGTTCACCGACCCAAATGTAACAATACAATAATAACAATATGTAGTAATGTTGCCCGAGAGGGGTCAAAAGTCAACTTTCGGAAATCGAACTCTACCTCCTTTTCCGGACATCTTATTACTTATTAGGGTACTGGTGTAATCGCACCCACGGCACTACCATTCTTGCTGCTCTAATTGGCGAATTATTATTATTATTTTGAAATGACCCAAAGGCAATGTGCCTATCGAGGGGTTCATTTGATTGAAAGAACAGTAGATGTAGATGTATGTACATTATGAGTGTCTATAATGGATTATCAAGTCAAGTTGCTCTCACTATCTACGGTGCAATCCAGGTGCAAACATTACGCATAGACATAATAATTTTGTGAAGAGAAAAGGACCTATAAATTACTAGTTATGACTAAACTCTCCACCAAGGTAACGAGATAATAAAGTGCGACAACGAAGCACAACGCTGACAAGGATAATGAGACATTCGACGACCTAATACTAAACTAACTACAGTCAAACCTCTTCAGGACGAATATCAAGGGACCGATGATATTTGTTCGCAATAACGGGAGTTCTTCTTATCCATATGTTTTACCCAGTGAATACACGGGGTTTTATCCAATACAGTTACGAATACTAGTTCTTCTTAGGCAAATATGTGTCTTATCCGTGTTCTTTCTAACGAGGTTTCACTGTAGTAACTTATACGTGTAGGTCCTTCTTTCTTTACATAATTATTACTATTGGCTCAACGTCCGAGTTTTCATAGACCTAACGTGCACTCTTTTGAGTACATGGACCAATAACTGTGGATTCAGGGCGTACAGTGTGCTCACAAGTATTATAGGCTCCCTGGCATCATACAGGCGCAGGAATAGGGCCTTTGCAAATAGCTGCCCTTCTTTGCCTGTACGGTAATGTTTTTGCTGGCTCTTTTACCTAACGTTTTTCTCCTTTTTCCTTTTTATTTTGTGTTCCAATTGATTTACTAGTAGTTAAATTGATTTTATACTTCGAAGTAGTTTACTGAGTTTGTTTGATGATATGTGCAATTCATTTTGCCCGTACAAAAGCCTTTATTATAGGCTCCCTTTAATACATGTATACTCTTGATATGCTTACATGTATCTGCAGTACAACAAATAATGCCATTCTTCATCATTTGTGAGAACTAGATCTGGTCTAGTGAGAAGGCATTCTACTGCCTGTAATTCTGGTGAGGTGAAATAAAGTAACAACAACAACAACAACAATCTTGATCAATCCACAGCCGACCTCAGCCAACAGGGTTTGTTCTGCGATACCTCCCCATGGCCCAGCGTCCAGCGCCGGGCATATTCCGCTATAGCGGCTACAGCATAAAATGTGCACTCTATGTGTGCGTGTTCCGGCAACTTCCGGGAGAACAAACCAACAGTGCCGAATGCATAAAGTGTGCCAAAAAAAGGTGGACCTGGCTTGTGCTGATGGAGTGGTCAGAAACACGTGGTCTTCAATGCTATTGTGCTGGCGTGTACAAAAGTAAAATAGTAGGATTGTTTCTACAGCACAAAGCCGTACATGCATCCATTGTTCATCAATATAGTACCGCCGGTATGCTGTTGTGTCCGTTCTACACGTGTATATGGAGTTTGACCGTTCCTGTGGTACACCATGGTGTGTGACCTCTTCAGTTGTACCACAGTATAAAGCACTGGGATACTGTTCCCAAGTTGACCAGTACACGCGTTCACCTCCTCTTATC